AAAAAAAAAAGATCGAGCAAAATACAGCCTGACTTGCCTGCATTTTCAAGCAGATGTTTATGGACACTGTTAGTAAATACTTCGCAAAAAAGTTCTAAAAAACCCCTGAGGACTGGACCTGAGATGAATGAAAAAATTTCCCCAAAAGACTGGTAATGGGTGTACAGCAGTGAGGCAGTGTTCTCATGGCAAGTGAGTTCCTCGCCCGTCCTCGTTTCCTCCTCACCCATTGCTGATTCCGAACATGTAACCTGTCGGTGCGAAGCAGGCTAGAAAGCTGAAATTTTGAGGTGATGTTCCACGAAACCGCACTAGTGAGTATGCATGAAATGGAGTTTCAAGGGCTCGTACATAACAAGAAAAAACGAGGGTGCACTAACACGCAGTGTCCATTGTCGGATCCAACTTGTTCGCTTTTTGCAGGAATTTAACGGCCTTGCTGCAGTCCTTGGCACGCAGTGCCTCGCGCGCTATCTCCACGCAGCGCTGCGCCTCCAGACGATTCGCCTCCATGCCTCCCTGGTTAATGTGCCTGAAAGTAACGGGTCAGTAGCCCCAGATCCAAAGAATACGTTGATGTCACGCCTGCCACGTAGCAACCGGGCGCTGTTGAACTCTTTCACATAAAAAACGCATCCAAAATATCCGGAACATGGGAGCCGCCAAAATTTCGCGCCCAACACCTAACCTCATTTGGGGAACGACACCAGAGGCACACATCCTGGCGCTTTTTACAACAAATTATACACGAGCCACCGGGCACTTCCGCCTAAAGCACATCACACCTCAAACACCCTCCGCAATCTGTCCCATAATCGGAGGACCTCACACAAACTGACAACTCACAGGCCGATTGCATTGCTACATGCTGATAAATAGCTGCACGGTTTGCTGTCATTTCGCATGCGTGCGTTGGGAGAACTTACCCGTGTTTGGGGGTGCAGCGTGAGGTCTAAGGTTGCATTCTTCCACTGAGCAAGCTGATGGCGTGTTTGACTTCCTGGCATATGTCACAGTACCA